AAAAAAAAAAAAACAAAAAAAAACTGAACCTGAATCCAGTCATCTTTATTGCTACTTCTAGTCTACAGAAAAAACATGGAACATAAGGAACGCATCAGTCAAACCCAGTACCATCCTGGAGATTTCTTAAGAATCGTGACTCAATTTCATTAAGTCAATGGCATGAGAAAAAGGGGGATATCTTGGTTGGGTGCAGTGGAAAGAGATATTATGACATTCCAAGTCGACACATTTAAGAGACATAAGCAAATGCAATATGTGGCCCTGATATATTTACTTATGTGGGCCAAGTAAATAAGCCCAATTGCAAAAAAAAAAATCCACCAAAAACATTTTTTAACAGAACTGAAAAAATTCTCAATAGGAACTTGTATTAGGTAATATGAAGAAATTGTTATTAATTCATTAGATGATAATGACAACATAGTTAATAAACATTTAAGAACAAGGAAAACAGTCCCTCTTTCCTGATACTCTGCCCTGACCTTGCTGGGAAAGGCAAGCCAAACGATAAGACGACCCTCAGCCACCGCAGACAAAGGCACACTGCCTTCGGGGCAGACTTTCAGCATGAGGATGGAGCACAAGCTGCCCGCCCCTCAGTCTCTGCTCTGGTGTGGAGTCCAGTCCACCCACCCCCTGCCCTGGACATGTGGCCTGAAGCTGAGGCACCGCCATGTGGAAACCCACGGCCATCAAGACTAGGTTTTGATCCCAGAGCTCAAAGCCTTACCCTTCTCTAAGACTCAGGACACCTTTAGTGGCATGACATTTGAGGAGGGATCTGAGCTAGGCTAAGAGAAGCCCAACAGCCATTCTGGGCACTCACTTCACCAACTCACACACAAGGGAAGAATAAGAAAGAAAGATGTAGAATGAAAAGGGTACCAGCCTGGGATCCTTCATCCAGACCTTGGCCTACTCAGACTTTAATAGATGTATAAGGGGCAGTGTGAAAAAAACCACAGGCCCAAACATCGGACCTCCACTGCCAAGGGTCCTTTTCACAGGACTCAGAAAAAGTACTGGCCGAATTCAACCTCACTGGTACAGCCAGAACGCCAGAGCCTCTGGGGAAGGGGCTCAGTGTAACATTCCATCTGACTCATCAGAAGAAGAATGTAAACTCAAACAGAGAAGGGAGAAGCACAGAATGATTCTGCAGCACCTCCTGGCCCCTCTGGGGGCTGGATCCTCTGTAGAAGCCCCACAGGCCTACCAAACTCAACCATCAGCCTCTACCTCATCACTGCCAAGGCCAGTCTCCCACCCAACTCCTTGTACCTCAAATCCATTCTACACTTCATACCTTTGTTCTTATACCTGGACTCTCCTGCCCCTCCCCCTCCTCTAAACTCACCCCTGCACACTGTACCTCCTTTAAGCATGGTGTCACCATGGATTAGTCCCTCTGTAACCAGGTTTGGAACCCTGTTTTAGCTTCAATCTTAGACCACATATTCTAACTGGGTGGTGACCCCTGCCCTTGCTGAACCACCGTAAACTCCTGGAGGAGCCATACTAGCATCCTCTGCATGGCACACAGTCCCCATATACAGGGGATACTCAGAAAACACATAAAGAGCTCATCAGCTACCAACACATGCACAGGCCTGGCTGTACTAAAGTTAAAATAGCAGTGTGGCTTTCGTCCCAGACCTCTGTAGCCCTGGCTGGGAGAGGCATGAGGAAGGGTGACCTGGCTATGTCATGAAGAGAATCACCTTCTAGAAGCCTATCTGGAGCCCTCCCACTTCACAGGCCTGCTGATACATAACACAGACACAGCCACAACACAGGTGGTACCAAAAGGGTTCTCAACACAGAATGCTCCTTTTCAGAAAAAAGGCCAGATTTCATTAAGCCATGAATTGGAACAAGCAGATAAGCATAGTTGCTTTTTGGAATGATGAGACTATGGGTAAAAGGAGGAGACTCCCAGGCAGCACCGGTGGTTCAGTGGGTAGGGCGCCAGCCCCATAGACCGAGAGTGGTGGGTTCAAACCTGGTGCTGGCCAAACTGCAACAAAAAAATAGCCAGGCATTGTGGCGGGTGCCTGTAGTCCCAACTACTTAGGAGGCTGAGGCAAGAGAATCATCTAACCCCAGGAATTGGAGGTTGCTGTGAGCTGGGTGATGCCATGGCACTCTACTGGGGGCAACAAAGTGAAACTGTCAATTAAAAAAAAAAAAAAAGGGCGGTGCCTATGGCTCAAGGAGTAGGGAGCTAGCTCCATATATAGAGGGTGATGAGTTCAAGCCCAGCCCTGGCCAAAACTGCAAAAAAAGGATGAGGCTCGGGCAGCGCCTGTGGCTCAAAGGAGTAGGGGGTTGGCCCCATATATTGGAGGTGGTGGGTTCAAACCCAGCCCAGCCAAAAACTGAAAGAAAAAAAAAAAAAGAGGCTCCCAAAGCCTCTGCCATAGGGCCCACATGTCTACCCACCCTCCTTCCTTCCACCTCAGCCCTGCCACTGGCCCTGCTGCAGTTTCTCCAAAGGGGCTCTGCAAAATCAGCTGTGCCCACTTTCGGCAGAACAACTTATTAAAGATACACTTCTTAGAAAAACAGACTGAGGTGCAGGGTCAATGACCCACCTACCTCTAACCAACTTCTTTGTGCATATGTTGAGATTGCACATACCTGCCAGAGATGAGATTATTCGATAGAGATCTATCTCAGGTCCGATAGAGACCTATCAGGCCTGATAGAGACCTATCTCAGGCCTGGCAGTTGCCCTGACAGCTCCTGCAGTGGGCACTGAGTGAAAGGCGGTACGTGTCCATGAATACACTTGCTCAGTCTTCAGGCTCTCTCCTATTACGGGCAGGATACCCTTCCCAAGAAATACCAAGCACTACATACACACATATCCAGGCAGGTCACTGACCATTGAGCAGACATAACTCTTCAAAGACTTCTACGACTCTACAATTGCCCCAACATCAATGGGCTTTGTTCTGCACACCTAGTCCTGGAGCTCAGGTGTGCCCAGAGCAACACCTGTCACACAGAGGGTCTGCTTACCAGCCCCTCGGTTTCTTCTGTCGTCCTCTGGAAATGTGCAGCCAGGACCATGTAGTCCCGCATCTGTTTGTGACATTCCAGACACTTGACTGCATACCGGATGAGCCTCACCGGGTCAGGGTAGAGTGGCAGGGCTGGAGGGGGACTGGCACTGCCCGCAGTGAGGCCATGTTTGGGAGAGGACGAGGAGGCTGGGGCTGCTGGTGCTATGGAGTTCACAGGGGCTGACAGGAACATTTGGTCCGCAGAGATAGGCTTCATGAGCAGCTGAGAACACTGCATGACAAGCCCCTTGCTCTTGTGGTCGCGGGCGTGCCGGAGCAGGCTGCACTTGTTGAAGAAGAGCAGTGTCTTGGAGCACAGAGTGCACAGCACCTCAATGTGGACACTCCGCCGGCTGTAGTGCTGGTTCAAACTCTTCTCCAAGGCAAACGCGTCTCCACACTCCAGGCAGCAGTACCCGCTGGCAGGCACGTGGATCCTGCTGTCTGCAGGTGGGCTAAGGTTTGGTGCATAGAGGGGCACAGGATTGGAGCTATGGAGGACCTTGTTGAAGACCTCTACAATCAGTGGGGCAGCCTTCTTCACTTGGTGGACCAGGGGCACCGACATCTGTGTGAGCTGGGGCTGGTTACGTCTCTGTGCTGAGGACTTGGCTGTCACTGATGCAGCAACACTGTGGGGGACGAGGTTCAGGTTGGCCAGGTGCACAGCTTTGGGAAGGAGAGTGGTGGGGGCCAGGGTGGACGCCTGCAGTGCTGTGTTCTGCTGCTTCTTCAACTGTGAGCCTGGGGCACCCCCCTTTGGCACCCGGGGCCCTGAGCTGTGGCAGGGAGACGAAGAGTCACTTGCCTTTGTCACGCCCTCACCCCCTTTCCTGTCACTCTGAGGGCTCCTTGTGTATGTGTCTGCCTCAGGAAGGGACTCCTCCACAGGCACCTCATCCCCGGGGGCCTCACTGGGGGCCTCAGCAATGGCACTCCCTAGAGGTGACCCAACAGGAGATTTACTCAGATCATCAGGGTCTGGTAGGATCCTTGTGACAGTCCGTTTGATTTCCCCTGATGATGTCTTAATGGTTTTGATTCTGACTTTGGGAATCGCTGGTGGGGAGCTGGCAGCCACAGAAGGGGAGCCTTTGCTGCTGCTGTCACTGCAGACACTCCGAGGGCTGTCTGAGGGCTTGATGCTTTTCCTAGTGACCTCCAGAGGGCTCCGGGGACTCTTTGGTGACTTGGGCATTTTGGGGCTGCCTTTAGAACCCTCTTTAGTGGGCCCTGAGGCATCCTTTGTGTGGTCAGCCTGATCCTCCTTAGTGAAACTGGCCACTCTTTTGGCCTGTAGGGCCACCAATGCTGCCACACAAGAGGACAGCTTGGAATGAGCTGGCTTCAGACGCTGTCTAGGGGGTACTGATGAGCAGGTACCAAGCTCCCGCGCAAGCCCACTGGGCTCTCCGACACTGTTGCTAGGGTGGCTGTTGAACTCCAAAGCATCCCCAAAGAATCGGCTGGCAGGTGGTTCCTTGTGAGACTCCACTGCCTCCTGTGCGCCCTGCTCACCACACTCCTGCTGGCTCCCCAGGGGCAGGGGCTCTGGCTTGGGCTCTTTCTTACAAAAGTGATCAAACATGTGCAGTTCTGGAACAGGACACTTAGCTAGAGCCTCCAACACTGGGCCCCCCACAGCCCCACACCCGGAAGGGGCTGGGAAGTAACTGTCAGAATGCTTGGGTGTTATCCCTAACCCATTATCTTTGATGGGATCCTCAGGTTCTGGGCTGGAGATTGGACTAAACTGGTTGAAGGTGGGTAACGGCTCTGACTTAGGAGGCTCTAGCTTGCCAGAGAAACTCCTGGCACTGTCTCCATTCATGAAAGTTGAATCAAACTTCCCACAGTTGTGGGGATCTGAAGGCAGGTCTGAGCCCCGGAATCCATTGTGTAGGAGGTTGGGAGCAATGTGGTCTTTCTCAGCTTCAAATGACTCCTGGCGGCTGGTATTCTTAACAATGACACTCACGGCCGGCACATCTGGGGCTGATCCTGAGTGAGACAAAGACACACTTTCATCCATACACATGCCTGGAGGTTTGAGGGGACTCTCATTCTCCTCACTGGGCGTCTGGATGGCCTCCTTGGCGTCAAGGCTTGTGGGGTCTGGGATGTCAAAGGCAGCCAGAAGGTCATCAAAATCTGGGGTTTTCATATCCCCCATGGCTGGTTGCTGACAAGGGCTATAACAGAAACAGAGAACAGAATCAGTGACCCTCAGGGTCCCCCTGGGCTCCGTCCTGCATCCTTCTCATTGCATATCACACTGACACGCAGCATGGCCACACAGAGCCCCAGCACTGTGTCTACAGCAGGGGATGGGTAGAAAGAGAAGCTGTGACAGGCCGGCCTGGCAGGTCTTCAACCTCAGTACCTGGAAAATCCTTGCTGGCTACAGAGCCAAAAAAAGGGTACACTCCTACCACACTCCCTCCACTTCTCAGGGAACATCACCTCTCTGTGTTCACGTGCACTAGGCAAAAAACCAGTCCCTCAGTCCTTAAAACAAAAAAGAAAACCCAAAAAACCACGGCTCAGCACTTCCTGCAGAAAACACTCAACCCATGCATGAGACTTGGCCATAACTTCCTCTGCTAATTTCTTAGTAATTACTCACTAATGTTATATAACTTTGGGGTATTTTTGCTACATGAATTCAATCAAATCCAAAGGACTTGCTATCACCAGGATTTACATTGTTTCATGAATAAACTCCAGAAAATTATTACACATCATCCTCTAGGTATTTTTTTTCTCTACTAAATGGACACACTTGATTCCTTGATTTTCAACCTAAAACTGTTATTGGTTGGTGACGGAATCATTAAGCCTGAGGAACAGGGTGACTCTGAAGGTGTCACAGAGTTATTGAGTTGGCCAGGTAACAGTTTGGGGGAAGCCTTAATTCCATTTTAACTTTATATTACACTCAAAGAAGAGAATAACAGTCCTATTTTAACTTAATGCACCTGTTTCCTTCATGACCTAGGAAGCACAGCTACAAAACAATTTTGGCAGGGGAAACCCCAGGCCCAGAATGAGGCCTTTCATTAGGAAATTATTATAACACACTTAAGATGAAACATGAAACTGGCTGGCTCTAACCTGCTGGAAGAAGGAAAAAAACCTTACTATCTCCCTTGTTTAGCCTTTAAATCTTGTATCTACTTCAGCATACAGGGTTTTACTAGCTTATATATTTCTCTCTCTCTCTCTCTTTTTTTTTTTTGAGACAGAGTCTCACTTTGTAGCCCTTGGTAGACTGCGGTGACATCACAGCTCACAAACTCCTGGGCTCAAGCAATCCTCTTGCCTCAGCCTCCTGAGTAGCTGGGGCTACAGGGGCCCACCACAGTGCCAGGCTATTTTTAGAGATGGGGTCTCGCTTTTGCTCAGGCTGGTCTTGAACCCTTGAGTTCAGGCAATCCACCCATGTAGGCCTCCCAGAGTGTTAGGATTACAAGTGTGAGCCATCATGCCTGGCCCTCTTTTTTTGTTGTTGTTCCTTTTTTTTTTTTTTTTTTTTTGAG